TCCCCTTCCTTGATTTCACATAATTTTCCCACATCACAGTTACTCTTGCAGAGAACTGACCAAAAGTCTCTTCCGAATCCCTCTTTGTTTTCCTGAAGTTATCCAGACATGATCAGGGTGAAGGTTTAAATTCTTTCAGCACTGTCTTCTTGATTTCCCCATAATTCCCATAATCTTCTTCACTTATCAATGTAATCAACCAATTTCTTTCTAGATGTCGTCCACCTTCTTTGTTGTTGAACAAACACTCTAAAATTTTTCTTTTCTCTATTTTTCAGAACTTTAATACAATTTTCTAAGGATATTATTTTGTTCTTCAAATTACCAATGCATTCTTGTTTATCCTTAGGGCATTCAGGAATATGTGAGTTTTATTTCAAAATCATTAACATTTGATTTATTATTGTTATCACCGATTTCAATTTATTATTGTCATCATAATTTACTTTCGGCACAGCATTCCATTTCAACAGTTTCTTTTTGTGGCTATCCAAACAAGCGATTTTTCATTAAACACTGCATAGAAAATGTTCGCTGAAGATTTTTCCTCTTCACATTAATAGAATCTTATCTTTGATATTTGTGTATCCATTCTTTCTCAAAACCAAATTTTCGTTTGGGTCCTTTAGTCCCATGAAATAAAATATCTCATCCTTTCGTACTTCTATAAGTGGTACGGCACGTTGCTACAGCTCAAAAAGCCATATTACATAAATGATACTTTACAGAATTTTAAATAAAAACTGACTAAAATTATATATATATAAATTATTTTAAATATTTACATTATTAGAAAACAAATATACGAGGGTTGGAACTTATCGGTCAGTTATGCTAACCACTATACCGGTTGGGCGGCTTCATTGATTCTCTTAGAGTTTATCGATTTATTAGCATGTCAGCACTTTATGTCGTAATTTCTGGGCTCATATTGCTCCATTTTCAGTGAGAATCATGTTTTACGTCGGCTTGCTGTCTCTAACAGTAGGTATTTTGACTTCTTGTTGCTTTGTATTCCTTAATTTTCTATAAAGAATTTAGAAGCATTTCAAATAAAGCTATTAAATTTTTATTGCCTTTTTGCACAACCTATATGTGTAAACAAGGATTTTCTTCCATGTTATATATAAAAAAATAAGTACAGAACAAAATTAAATGTGGATTATAATTTATGCTTAAAACTAAGTGAAATAAAACCAGACATAAAGAAATTGATTTCTTTTAAGTGGTCCCAAATTACGCACGAAATTTTAGGATTAAAGTATTATAACTTAAATTTTGATAATTAAAATGGTAGCCAATTCTTAATCTAATGGTTTTTTATGTGTGCATATTTAACTCAAATAGCCAATAATAGGTTGTGCAAATGGCAAAATATTTTTTGCCAAGTAGGTCTGTTAATTTCAAAACAGTATTTTGCATCGATTCACTTTTCAAACTCTCGCCACTAAATATTATCGGCATGCATTATATTTAAGGAAATTAAGTAATGAAGTATCTGCATGAATGCATGATATTTTCTTGCATTGTGAAAAAACAACACCCAGAGCCATCAAATGTTGAATAACATAGCCGAACATGGCCACTTGAAAGCCCGAATTTTGAATTTGTTTTATTATCTGTTTCAAATTTTGCAGAACTTTAACAAATTTTTGAGTAACAAACTTGACAATTTCAAAGCGAGCAGTGGTAACATTGACCGAAAAAACATTTTAATCTCCAGCTTGTGAGACTATGTATCAGAAATTATAAAGGTTTGCTGTTTTTAAATATTTTGTGATATTGCTGTTGAATTAAATTTTATGTATTTTAAGTGCGAAGAACATGGTATTTAATAAATAAAGGTAAAAAAAAAAAAACCCTTTTGGATGTAATATAAAATATGAAAGCATTCAGATTTTCTTTCTTTTTAGCCCAAAGGGCATTAGCCAAAAATGGCTATTAACTTCGTTTTGGCATTTTGCGTTGAAAACTTAAATGTCTGTTTCACTTTTCAAATTGTTACTACTAAATATTATCATCCTGTATTGAAACATAATCATTGTGAAATTTAGACGTGGTACTACAGGTTTTTAATTTTTTTTTTTAGATGGTATGCATTATTCAAAAGATTGAGAACCGCTGTTCTAAAGAACTCTTTATTAACTTGAATGAAGTTCATAGTCGGCACTAGTTCGTGCTTACAAAGACCAACACTTTTAATTACACACTTACAAAAACAACACAACAAAACTTAACTCAAAAGGTAATGATTAGCTTAAAACTAATGAAGTTAAGAATGGCCTAACTGCCTCACAGGTTAACTATCGTTCAAACTGGCTGTGACTCGAAAGTCAGCGTAAACAAGCCTTATGGTAAGAATAGCTCAATGCCACAGAATTCTAATCACTAAATAATCAAGGTTAGAAATGTGGCCTTCAGGCAGGGAAAACATGCTCTAATTTCACGTTCCAAAACGTTTCCTTAAGTACTAACTTCTCTGTACCTCTTTTGAATACATGCGTGCTAGTCAATTTGCATTCTGGTAAGGAAGTGCGAGTTGAAATACAAACTATGGAAATACTAAAAGAATGAAGAAATGTTCAGTGTGGAGCAAATTATGGGAAACATAATTCATATGTTCTAATTTCAACAGGGCAGGTATTATCACTATCAATGATTCAACAATGCATTACATGTTAGAAGTCTTATTCTTTCCTTGCTGTTTTGTATAAAATAGTTAAATATGTACGAACAAGAATTCATCTGGAATACAGAGGATAAAATTTAGGTATCTATGTCTATTACAATACTGCAAATGTTATCTTTCTTGGACATCCATAGTAGCATTTTGTTTCCTGTAACATTGTTCATTGTAACATTGTTGTATATAGTACAAATTTATGTGTATATGTAATACAAGGAGGTCATAAAAAAAACTTCAAATACAAAAAATACGAATTCTTAGCTGCCTATCCGCTGAATCAATCGAAATAAAATTTCAGATATTGTTATTTGAAAATATGCACTCGAGATTATGATGAAATAGAGAGAGCTGACATAGTTATGGTTACAGTGAAAAAATATCAAAGTTTTCATATGGCAACACCTACTTTTTCCTGCACAAATTGATCAGCACATTGAAAAACCTTACATGTCATTAGAACATTACAATATGATGAAAATTGTCGGCATAAAACACATACAAAGAAGAACACCATAAAGGATCAATGACAGTACAAGAGAGGAGAGGGAAAAGTACTTTTACTGGAATTACAAGTTTTCAACATGGCCACCTTAGCAGATGGATAACGCATTGCATGTAGGAGATTGTTGACTAATATATCATCGCAGGAGGAATCTGTATAATTGCATGTTTTCTGACAAATCGTGTGAATTTCATTTTGGGGTTATCTGACCTTATACTTCAGATAACTCCAGAAATCCATCAGAATGGGGTTGTGGGATTGCTGTGAGTATGCAACAGTTACAGGAGATGACTTTTCTCCAAAATACTGTTGCGGCACTTGCCGAACACATATGATGATGTGTCGAAGAGCACCATCTTGCATCCATACAATGTCATAAATGACATTTCACTCTTGCAATTCTGGAAATACATAAATCTGCAACATTGTAATATATTGAACACTTGTGCTGCGAAGTACGTTTTCATATTTGTGGAAGGGATTTTGTGGTGCTGCAGCATGCAGTCACTTTAGCTTTGTGTAAAGGTACTGGTGCCACATCGTGAGGATTTTCACCAGTGCGGTGAACGCAGTTCTTGGAGTTTACATTCCTAGTTAAAGAGAAATGCACCTAATTAATTCATAATATTGGCAGCAGCCATATGCTATCTTCATCATATCTGATGAGGGAAAAATTTACAGAGTCAAATGTGCTGTTGCAACTCACTGTTTATAATAACATCTGGATGTACTGGAAACGATTAAAAAAAAAAAAAAAAAAAGTGCAGAACAGCATACTTGAGGACTGTGGTTTTTGATACATTCAAATTACTAGCGACACTTCTTGCAGTAATCGTATTATGGACTTCTGCAACAATTTCAGCAAGAACATGTGAGTATTCATATCATGGTCTACCATATGTGACTCAAATTCCTTGAAATTTTTTTTTACTAAATCATCTACAGTTTTTATGGAACATGGGCTTTGTTTCAGCTTATGATATCACTGATAAACTCGCACAACTTCTGCACCATTTTTTGCCATTAAAATAAAATAGCTTTATCAGTTCAGCTTATTGTTTCCTTGTTAGCACCTATGAGCACCTGATTGAAGAACCAGTCTTTCTACACAGCTTATTGAATGTTTTGCTACAACTTATGCTTTGCACATATTGGTTTCTTTGTTGGGTGATTGGTGATTCTGTTGTCTATTTCTGTGAATTATGCAAACTTCATCAGTGCATCTCCTCTCTGTGTTCTCACTGGTCCTTTACAATGCTATTCTTTTCAAATGTTTTATGCCAGCAATTTTCATCATACATGTTTCGTTTCAATGCCAGTTATGGTTTTTCAATATGCTGACCAATTTGTGCAGGAAAAAAAAAAAAATTTTGTTGCTGTTCCAAAATTTTGAAATTTTTTCACTGTAACTGTAACCATGAGAGCTTTATTGTTTTAAATCATCACAATATTGAGCAGATGCCTTCAAATAACAATACCTGAAATTTCATTTCAACTGGTTGAGCAGAAGGCTGCTAGTGGATTATACATGGGGGGGATTATTTATAACCACCCTGTATTTGAAATATGTATTAATTGACTTAAGCTCATTAGTAGGCTGTTAGTAAAACTTTAAAAAATAATGCAGTTATTAACAGCAGAGTACTTCTGAGCTCCGAATTTGGTCAAGAGTCGATTCTAATATCTTCCCTTTATAATGAAAATTTGATATTTCCTTTCCTTATTTTAACAATTAATTTTGTATTTTTACTTTGTTTAGCATTTAATGCCTTATTTTATCAAATAATTTTATCTTATTTTCTCTTCCCTCAGGACCAACAGTTATGTATTTTTGAGGATGCAAGTGGTTCACCTTATTTAAGTAAGATGTTTTTAATTTTTTCAGCTAAGAAATAGTAAATATAATTAATAGTAATAATTAATAGTAAAGATGACATACATGTACACTATAGTGCATACTTTTAATACAAAAAAGACATTGAAATTTATGGGTGCGCATTATATGCCAGATATTAAAATGATATATTTAAAAATAAGGAAAAAATGAGCATACAAAAATATTTGTTTCTTCATGTACCTAAATACTGTTACTGATGATTTTCTAAGACCCAGTTAACAATACTTTTTTCTAGGGTAGGCCATTTTCTCAAAGCACAATCCTTCTTTGGCATATTAGTTATTGCGATTTCACTTTTCTTCTTCTCATGTATAGAGCTTTCACCAATACCAAATATCCCTGCTGCAGCATGGTTTCCATTTCCTTTTGCAAACTGAATGACTTTGCATTTGAAACCAGCATTTGTTTGTTTCCTTTGGCAGGAATGTTCACTTCAAAATCACAGCTTCAAATGGCTACAGCAAGAGAAAACATCTGACTCCTATTTCTGTGAATTGATTTGGGTTAGAAGTACATTCATATCCCAAATTATTTCTCCCATTTTCTCAAAACCCTAGAATATCATTCTTGTGCACTCCTGCATTGAATGCAACTCAACCACTTTGCAGAATTATTTACTTAAATCATTTCTTCTTTCCCAAATATATTGTTCCTCTAGTCACTTGTCAGTTCAGTATACTATTGCGGAAAATCTTTAAATGAATGACTTCAAAAGATAACAACATTGCACATTTATCTTTTAGGTTTCTTCATAGTGAAAAGTGTGCACGTTATATGCCTGAATATACAGTAATTAAGAAAATAATTAATGTACATGCATTTGTAAATAAATGTAATTCCTAATTTTATACCATTTTAATTAAAAAAATTCTGTATAATAAATTTGTAGGGTTGTTATTGTAACTGGAACCTGAAGCTCTGCAGATCCTATTAGACAAATAGCACTTACCACTACGTCTTAAATGATTCACAAATACAGAAGATCTTTTTATTTTATCTTAATGTAACAAAGCAGGTACAACTCATGCTACATATGAAACTTCCATCACTTGTGGATCATTAATGTAACAGACAGTTCAAATTAAAGGGTGATAGCATAGTGTAAGACTACATATTAAGTATACTAAAAAAAAGTTGGCTGAGTGTATTTTACCAGTGCATATTTAAAACATCAGCTAGTGAGAATGCTCAAGGCTGAATATTGCTTTTAGCAGAGCTGGCGAATAGTATTAACAGCAAGATGCAGTTGCTAGAAACTGTCATCAAAACTCTTGGCTTAAATACACACAAAGCTAGTTTGCATTGTGGTGAGGAACTGAGGAATACAGAAAGGAGAAGTTATAGTAAAGGCTTATATAATAATAATATAGTAATAATAATAATATATACTTTATATAATAATATAGTAAATATATACTTATATTTAATAGTTATAAATATGCAAGTTTTCTTTTTGAAAGCATTCCTTTAATTTTCAAACAAACTTAAAGATTTTAGAACTCGAGCAATTATGTACTAATAAAAGTAATTTTATTACTACTTCACATAAATTATACAAAATGAAACCTTTTGAATTTTTAATAATTTAATTTAAAAATAACTATTAATAACACAAAATCTACTGCTATAATTTTTAAACCCTAAAATATTTTGCTAGACCTACGCTTCATATAGAAAAGCCATTTGAAAAGTTTGCATGCAACCTGTAGGCCAAATTTGCTATAATAATTTCAACAGAAAAGGCTTTTCTAGATAATATGAAATGCATTGAAATTTAGCTTTCACGTTCTTCGATAAAGAACTTCCGGCTATAAAGATGACTTTGTAATGAGCATTTAAAGACACAGTTTGAACATGAAATTCTGCTTGGAGCATGTAAGTAATAAAATCCGAATGGATGGAAGAAAAACCAAACTTTCATGAGCATAAGATCTTTAAAATTTCCCTTCCTCTGAGCTCTTTGTTTGATTTTATCATAATTGTATAGTAAGTTTTAAGCAATAATTTAACTCAGATTTCTAAAATCCTCATCTATGGGATAATTTCTACATTTAGACTCCCCCCCCCCCCGGAAAACCAATTCCTGGGAAGTTTTTCCCCCTGTCTAGCAAAATGTTTTTCCTTCTGGCAAGCATATTGTTTTTTTTTTTTTTTTTTTTTTTTTTTTTTTTTTTTTTTTTTTTTTTTTTTTTTTTTTTTTTTTTTTTTTTTTTTTTATTTTTTTTTTTTTTTTTTTTTTTTTTTTTTTTTTTTTTTTTTTTTTTTTTTTTTTTTTTTTTTTTTTTTTTTTTTGTTTTTTTTTTTTTTTTTTTTTTTTTTTTAATTTAAATAATAGTTTGAAGGTTGATAAGTTTTCTAAGCTGGATTCTATATGTTAAACTACCCTGTCTTATAGTAAAATGTAAAGCTAAATACATAATGTGGAAAAGAACTGTACTTGAGATTGCAGAATATCTTTCAAAATTCAGATTTGATGCAAAATTATGTTTTTTTAAAACTAACTTTTGAAGAAAAACAAGACAGGAATCCATCTAAATTAAAGCAAAGGATTATTAGCATAAGCATGGATGAATGGCAGGTATGCATTAATTATAATTTTTAAGCAAGATATAATTATTATTACTATTATGTTTTAGGAGAACTAACTTTTGAAGAAAAACAAGACAGGAATCCATCTAAATTAAAGCAAAGTATTATTAGCATAAGCATGGATGAATGGGAGGTATGCGTTAATTATCATTTTAAGCAAGATATGTTGCATAGCTCTTTTTTTATAGAGATTTAATAATTATTGTTATTATGTTACATGATAGTTATTTTTCCTTTGATATGAAAAAGAAATATGTTTGTATACTGAATTCTCACAAAGATGGCCACTAAAAGTGATCAGGTATTTCTGAGACCATAAATTAAATGTGTATAGAGAACATGACTATCATTGATGTGCAATATTAGACAAATCATAATTATTTGGAACCATGGCTGATAGGGTATTTCATATCCTTCTTGATCATCCTGTATAATGCTATTATACAGGATGATCAAGAAAAAAATATTCTGCTTTCAGTATTGTTGTCACACTGCTTGGAGGAGGCCATATCCCCTTGCTGTCTGTTTGCTATGGATAGTGGTAGTTGGGGACATATCTAAAAGTGCTGTTCAATACAGTCGCCATATGGTCCTCTTATTCCCAGTGACACTGAAGTTGGATGCAGTTGAACCCTGCAGTGTTGTTTCCATAGGCTACAACTACTACAGATTCTCCGTAGTTTCTATGGAAATTCATGAAAAACAACAAGCTATGAAAAGTCTGGAAAAAACTACAAATTTTACAGAAACAGGGTAGGAGAACTAGTATGCAAAACAGAACCAACTAATTCATCCCATGATTGGCTGAATACTCGTGTCATCATATGTCACATGTTGAGTGCATTGCTGGTTTTGAAGAATAGCCAATCGTAGATCAGTAACTCCAACCGTTAATCACTTGTCAATTCCACGCACTCCCAGTTTGTTGCTGCTGTATAGGGCTTGTTTAGCCTGCCTCAGCTCTATTGTTTAGATTATGGCGAGAGCTTAGTGTGTGTCTTTTGAGCTGTGATTCAGCTGGAAGTTTTTTTGTTAATTATACTGCCTTGAATGAAGAAGCTAAAAGATTCATATTCTTCAGAATTTCCATGCATTGAAAGCATCCAAAATTTCTGTGAATCACGCACATTGCAGTGTATGCAACAAAGACTTCTCAATTGCACATGGCGGAAAAGATGACTGTAAATGGCTTGTTTTTTCTCAAAAGCTTAAAGAACTTGACACTGTAAAATCTAAAGAAATAACGAATTTCTTAATAAAAGATGATGAAACAGATGCTATAAAAGCCAAATGCTATTTTGTTCGATTTTTATTTTGTTTCGAATCGTTCCAAACAGCTTTTCAAAGCAATGCTTCCGTATTCAGCCATAGCAAAAAAATTAAGCTGCGGCCATACCAAAACTGCTGCCGTTGTGAAAATGCTTGCAGAAAGTACTGTTGCCGATATTATAAAATCAGTGTACAATACATCATTTTCTCTAAATACTAATTGAAGTAATGACAACAAACTGTACCCTTTGATTATAACAATTATAGTAAAGAAAAGGGAGTGATAATTACTTCATTGATTTCTATTTTAGAATGTATGCATAATACCGGAGAAGGTATTTTTAATTATATAAATAAAAACTTTAAAAGCAAAGGTTTAAAATAGGAAAAAACACTTATCATTTTTCGTGCATTTCCAAATCAGATAATGGTGGTTCAGTGAGTTCATTAATCTTAACACTTTTACATTTTTAATAATATTTTAATTACTATATATAAAACGCATTCTTAGGCCGCCGCCTTCAACATGAACAAATTTTATTCTTTTTTAACTATGCGAGCAACAGCGCCATCTAGCATTTTTTTTCAAATTACACAACACTCCCCACCTGAACTCGGTGGAGAGTTCATCTTTCAATAATATATTCTAGAATATTCAATTAATATTTCGACAATCAATCCTAGAGAAATGGTTAAATATAACAAACATGCATACATAATTATAAGCACATAAAATTTTACAAAACATTAAATGATACCTATCAGCAAGGTCAGGAGAATCAAACCTAAAAATACAAAATACAAACATTAGTTAAGTTCCATATTATATAACAATTGTATAGGCCTTTTTAAGGTACCAGTAGGTGTTTTAATTATGCAAGATCTTATTTTACCATCTCTGCCTGGCATTAATTCCAAAATTTTACCTATTGTCCAGAGATTTCTGGGATGTTTGTCGTCATGAATCAAGACAATATCGTTGATTTTAAACTGAGATGCGTTAGAGTGTGGAGGACAAATATTGGCAGATCTCAGATTAAAAAGATACTCTGATCTCCAACGCTTCCAAAAATGATTTAAAATATCTTGATGGTATTTATATCATTTAATAATTGAATTTCTTGATCCAATCAAATTATTTGATGTTATTTTATTAGCAGGCAGAGATAGTAATCGTCTACCAACCAGAAAATGAGAGGGTGTTAGTGGAGAAGGTTCATTGGGATCGGTAAACACGTAGGTAATTGGTCTACAATTAATCATTGCCTCGATTTCAGCACTGTTTCAACTCTTTCACAGTAAGGGATGATCGACCAATAATTTTTCGCAAGCTGGATTTTTATGGTTCGTACCATACGCTCCCAAAACCCTCCCCACCATGGACCCCTCTCAATAATAAATTTCCAATTTATGCCTCTAGCAGAAAATAATTCTTTCACAGATGAGTCACTCAAAGTTTTAAAAATATGTTTTAGTTCTTTATCAGCTCTTTTAAAAGTCTTGGCATTATCGGAGTACACGGTGGTACACAGTCCTCGGCGAGCTAAAAATCTTCGGAAAGCTAGCAAAAAACTTTCAGTGCTGAGATCAGTTACTATCTCTATATGTAAGGCACGAGTGACCGCACACGTTAACAACAGCATGTAAACTTTACCTTGCCTGTCTTTCGTAAAAAATGGACCGGCGAAGTCCAACCCGGTCACAGCAAATGGAGGCGACTCTTGGATTCTGTCTGGAGGAAGTGGAGCGATATCCTGTACCCCAGGACGAGCACTATATCGTTTGCATATCACACATTTGCTGATGATAGTCTTAACACGCTGTCTTCCCTTAATGATCCAATATTTGTCTCTGATCTGAGTTAGTGTCGAATTAACTCCAGCATGGAATACCCTTTCATGCGAGTCCATGATGATCAACTCGGTAAACTTGCATTTTGAGGGTAATAGAATAGGATGTTTTAAAAATTCTCGTGACAGTCTGCAAATTGAATGAGACCTTTCAACCGAAGAATTCCCTCCTCATCAAGCCTTGGATTAAGGGAGTAGATGGAAGAATCGAGAATTGATTTTTTTATTTGATAACTTAATTATTTCCGCTTGATACGATTCTCGTTGCGTAATTTTTACCCAATAATGTTCAGCTGCTTTAATCTCAAAAGCACTTAAAGGTCCATTCCCTGTAGACCTTTTCCGAAGCCTCCCAATAAATCTAAATACATAGGCAGTAATTCGAAGTAATTTTCCTAAAGAACTGAATTTTTCTATATGCAAAATTGGGGATTCATTGTTAATTACAGGTGCAGTCAAAATAATACTTTTTCTTAACTCCAACGATTCTGAATTTGGTTTAATTTTTTTTCTTTTGTTTCGGAAAGTTTTCAGTAGGAAAACGTAACCAGTGTGGCCCATGCCACCACAGATCATTCTTAACTAGTGACTGAGCACTAATTCCTCGAGTTAGTAAATCGGAAGGATTTTGTTTTCCCTTCGCAGTGGTTCCACAATTTTTTGTTGCATATACTCTGTATTTCTGTAAACACGATTGGCGATAAATGGTTTCCAATTATTTGGCGAACCTTTAATCCAAGTAATGGCGATTTCGGAATCACTCCAAAAAATAAACATCCTCAATTAAATCACCAAACAATTTTTTCAAATATTTATACATTCGAGCAGCCACGAGTGCTCCCATTAACTCTAAACGAGGAAGCGTGATTGCTCTTAAAGGTGCAACCCTGCATTTCGACATGATAAAGGAAGTTTTAATTTCAGAATCACTCGTACAATATCTGAAATATGCGATGGCCCCATATGCTTTAGGACTAGCGTCCGAAAATAGGTGAAGGCTTATATTCATTTGATCATCATCAAAGAAATTTCGCTGTATCGATATTTCAGTTAATTCACTAAGTTCCTCCTGCCAAATGTTGAATTTGTCCTTAATCTCTGCAGGAAGAACCTCATCCCAGTCAGAACCGGAACACCAGATTTCTTGCATAATAATTTTTGCCCGAATAACAAAGGGTGCAAATAAGTCCAAATGGATCGTATATTTGGGCGATATTTTGCAAAAGTTTCCTTTTTGTAGCAAAAATCGTTTTCCGAAGAAAAGTCAATTAAATTTTTAAAATTTAACTTTATATTGTCTTCAATGGAATTCCAAATCATGCCTAAGAAATTCGATTCACTAGTTAATAATTGTTGTTATCTGATTCCTTAATCCCATTTGAGACCCATAAATCGTTTAATGCTTTAGAATTAGTTCTTAATTTTCTGAAATTCATCCCAGCATCCTTAAATATGTTAAACCGCATCTACAGATAACCGATATGCATCTTCAACCGTTCCTGCTCCAAAATATAGGTCATCGACATAGACAGAAGAATTTAACATTTGGAAACTGTCCGGCATTTTATCTTTATATTTTCGAATGTGATATTTTATAGTGGCGGCCAAAATGAAAGGAGATATAGTCAAACCGAAAGCTACGCGACACATTTGCATAATCTTAAAGGAGTCATTATTTTCATTAAACCAAAGAAATTTTAGAAATTTTTCTATCACCTTCAGCAATTCCTATCATCAAAAAGGCTTTTTCAACGTCTCCACAAAACGCTATCTTAAACTTACGAAAATTTAACATAATGTCTAGTATATTTGGATTTAGATTAGGTCCCGATTCAAGGCAGTCATTTAACGAATTCGTGTCCTCTGTCCTTGAGCTAGCATCGTACACAATTCTTACCTTAGTAGTTTCACTAGGTCGTATCACTGCTCGGTGCGGCATAAAATATCCCAAATTTGTATCATTATTTGGACATTCCTCCACAATTCCTTCTAATATCTGGTTCTCAATATATTT